TTTGCAGGCCTGTAGCTCGGACGGCAGCCATTCTACGAGCCTGCAAATAAGCTCATTCGAAAGAGCGTGAGTTCGTCGACACGATGGTATGCAAATGAATTGAGTCTGGAAGAACCGGAGAATTGACGGATGGGGTGATACAGCCTTAGGGGCGAATGGAGTGAAGGCTCATATCAACATCAGAACAGTCTTAGAGCTCCGAAATGGGTCTATTGCAGGAAAATTAACGGTTTTAAACTTCCAGGATGGCACTGGTGGCGAAAGGAGCTTTGCTCAACTTCAACTTAAAATCCTTAACCTACAACTGAGGCTGCGCTTTAAAATCCCATCCGCCAAATCTCCGCTGTTTCTCATACCCAACTATTTTGCATACCATCGTGTCGACGAACTCACGGTCTTTCAAATGAGTTTACCTGCAGGCTCGTAGAATGACTGCCGGCCGAGCTACAGGCCTGCAAAGCGGTGCAAGTCAATGGTGAGATGCAGATGGGGTCATGTGCACTCACTGTCAAAAGCCATTTTCAGCAAAAAAAAACTCGATAGCACACGTCGGATGCATAGAAAATGTCAAAAGGCATCCATTTTATCCAATTAGTTTTGTTGGGATATCTTGAAAAGGTTTCCATGCGAAGAAATTTGGCTTAAAAAGGGAAATTAGAAGTTATTTTTGAAAAAAAGCAAAATAAAATTCAAACTTGGGTTTTTTTGGAAGTAACTACTACCTGATTGTTGTCCGATGAGCTCTACACACAGTATGCTTACCTGTCTGGAAAACTTCTGTTTTTGCGCCAAGAAAAGACCCAAAAGAAGTTTTTCGCGTTCAAAGAATTAATGTCCGCGACATCGTGACGTGGCCATTTTCGGACTTTTTTTAGGAAAAGATTTTTAAAGTTTTTATAATGGACATTTTCCAGCGCAATGTGTGGCTTGTAGCTCTTGAAGAGCTCTATCACCTCATGCGATCCAATCATTTTTCATCTTTGTTTTCCATCCGAAAATGAGCGATGAAAAAAGAAAGGCGGCTTGTCCGCAACTTTTTGGCGGCCACTGTATGTATCTCAGACCCTCGCCACTGCTTATCTGTGCTTTCAATTTACATTAGCTCTGATGCAGTAGTAAAAAATTGGAAATTCGTTTTGTTGCGCATTTATAAGGTTGTCAAGAAAATAATGTCGGTTTTAATTTGCTTGCTGTGGCACCGCAACCGGGCGAACCCCGAAAGCCGCCTGAGAGGAACTGTTCGATAGAGCACTTTATAAAATGGTACTGATGCTTCCGCACCAAGATTGTTCCATGTGAAGTTAGAAATCAAATCTAAAAAGTTCTAAATGCCCGAAAAATCGGGAGAGATCGGATCTCCGTCCAGAAACTTTCTACGGGCCTCCCACTTGCACACATCTGACTATTGCCATCAAACATTCTATACACAGTTGCTGTATTTTTTCCTTGACTAGAAACTGAGAAAACGGAAATCATCAAGTCATCCCAAAGCGGTGCTGGGTTCCTCAACCGAAACCGAAATCAAAGAAGAAGTGTATCAAAGCTTAATCTATTTTTGTTGCAGTATTATCGAAGAAAGAATTTTTTGATCACTTTGTCTGTTCCACAACCAAAATATTGAGTCGATCCAGAGGTTTTGTCAATTTTCCAATCCACCGGCAAATAAGGTAGAATATAGATAAATTCTTCAAGCTGAATCTAATGCAAACTTTCTTTGTCTTTCCAGCTGTATATCTTCAATAAATTTCAGAGAGTGCTGAGTTAATAGTGGCAAACTGCAGTGCTTCGTTTTACCATGCCTAGAAATTTTATTTGAGACTTTTGGGGGAGCTTTCAATGCCAGCAAGTAGGGCAAATCTTTTGTCAACTAAAGCAATGCTTTACACTGTTCTCATCTTTTTTTAGAATTTTGCCAATAAATTTTCCAAAGTCTTAAATTTGGAAAAGTTGCACAAAACGTCATTGCACCAAACACTTGCAAAATTTTTAGAAGAGGTTTCATTACTCGAACACCACTATTTCTAATTTTACACTAATTTTACAAAGTAAGAACGATTTTTGCTTCATATGAAGATCCTGCAACCTAGGGACATGCACATTCCTAAAGATGAGAAAAACTGCGGTTTCCTCCGCAAATTTGCATATCTCGCAAGCAAAAGACAACTGCTGGGAAGAGAAGAAAGAAGTTACACCCAATTACTTGATTGTTTGACATTTCATGTTCTAACCTCAAAATGGGCCGAACATAAGAACTGGTCACTTCAAAAGTATATTCTAAAATTCTTGAGACCATATTTGCAAAACTGCATTCGAAAAAGGCCTGCCTTATTTGCTGCTTGCAAGAAGGCCGTTGAAAGCCTCACAAAAAATTCTGAAAAGTAGCAGAAGTTAGACATGGTGAAAAGAAACAGTTGTAATTCCCAGCGATTACCCCAACACTCTCCCAACGAATCACTTTAGAAACATGGTTGCTTCGAATATAGCTTGAGCTTGAAGTGATTGCAGGTTATCTCAAAAAACTAACAAAATTTTTGCATCGACTTAGTATGTATACTGAACAGTGGCGTATCGAGGGAGGAGGCCCCCCCCCCGAGAATGGTCGCAAAATTTTTGAAAGTTACTTATATGGGTTATAAAAATGTGCAAGTAACTTGTTTATAATTGTAAATAATTAAAATAACTTTTAAAAATTTTTAGAAATTTAATTTGGCCTTATAAAAAAATTTTTTCGGGGGCGGGGGCCCGCAAAAATTTTGAAAAATACCCCTAAAATTTTTTCGGAGTGCGCGGCTACGCCACGCACCTTCCTTCATTCGAAAAAAATTTTCGTCGTGCCCCCCCCCACCCTATTGGAAATCCTGGGTACGCTACTGATGCTGAAATATATATTATGTAATACATATATACTGTATGTATCAGTGGCGGTCTCAGAATTTCTGTACGCGAAAGGGGGCGATAGAATTTTTCTTTGAATGAAAAAGCGTGAATTCAGTCCACTTCGAAGTTTTTGATCTAATCCCGAAATTTTACCGGGCTGATTCAAATTTTTAAAATCCAAAAACTGTTTACAAACCTAAATAAGTCACATGCACATTTTTGCGTCATCCTACTAACTTTCAACCAATCTTGCGACCAACTCTCGGCTGTGGGGAGGGGGGGGGGAAAGGAGAGAAGGAGACGCGTGCTACTGGTATGTATGTATACAGGAACCGTAGTAAACCCCCTCTCAGCTCAGATGATCTGCGCTGACCCCCTCAGAAGAGATTCGTAAGCTACTGACGATCCCCCTTGCTACAGTGCATTAAGAATAGACGCTGGGCTGACAGCCAAGCGGCCGGTCGGCTGCTGCAATGAACTGTGCTGCTTGCCCTAAGCTAAGCTGTCGCCGTCGACCTGGCTTACGGAGATAGCGTGTCTGAAAGGAGACGCAGACACAAATCCCGTAAGTTGCTCGTGAGTAACTTACGGGACATGTAAGCTTCCATGAAATTGCAGAATAAAGACGCACAATTGCACACATCTTCCTTGTCGTTATCTCATAAAAAATCTCGCACTGCTTGCAACTCTTTCCAATTTCTTCCTTTTACCAACCGTTACGTTACGTACCGCTTTGCATTGTTGTCGTTCTTGTGAAACAAAACGCAGATATACCTACATAGTCTCCCTATTGCTATTTCTACATGCATTCCCCTTTACAAAAGGGAGATGTGTAAGGTCTACAATACGTCTACGTTTCCGCTGTTTGCTTAAACATGCTAACATCTTTTGATATTCTGCTTTTTCAGATCTGTGGTCTCACACCACTAGCCGCTGTACAACCATGGTACGCCGGCTAGTAGTGCTCTCAAAATCGTTTCAATTGTTGCACGAATGCTGCATATCGAGGTGAGATAGGTGCAAAGTATGCATGTATGCAACTTTCAACTCGATGCAAATTTAGTTGCGTGTATCAGTTATGGTAACATGCGTTCACCATGCCAGGTTTCCTACATCTGTGCTGGTTTTGAAGTCCGACTTACACAGAACTACGAATCCACGGATAGAAGAAATAGGCTGAAGTGCCATTTATTTTGTCAGTAGTGTTTCTCTATCTTTTCTGTGTTTCATTTTCGCGTACACTGGAATTGTTACAGACGATCCCGTGATGTATAAAGCGGTAGCTGGACCATCGCGCAAGATCTTTTACTCTCGGAAAATAGGAACTGAGCAAAAACGGTTTTGATCTAGAGGCGAAGGCGCCATTTCAATGGACAATGCAATGTCATTGGAGATCACAAATGTGTAGGTGTTCTGTGCACATAGGCTATCTGGATAGTTTTTCTTTTCCACCAATTGTCGACCTCATAGGATTCTCAATAGTTTTTATATTATTCCTGCACCCCTTCTGTTTGTTCATATTAGTATTTACTTCATGTTGGAACTAACAAGGGATTTAGTCATTCTAAATCAATTAGAAAAGCTGTACAATTTCTGTGATACAGTTGGTGGAAGGGGTGGAATAAGGGAGGGAGGGAGGGGGGTGGCTGGAGGAGGGGGGGGGGGGGAAAGAGAAAGGGGGGAAATGAATGCTGGTGAATTGGTCGTGCTCAAATACTGACCGTACTTAAATATTAATTTGTCATATCTTTTTATAGAAACAGAAACTTGTGAAAAAGAAATGTGGAAAATGAATGCGAACACCCCAATGCCATTCAAAGGCATGCATACCTTTGTGGAGTGAAATCTCTAGTCAAACAAGATTGAATGCAAAAAAAAACAATAAGAAAAATTTAGCACCTCCCGCAAAGATCCCGCATTCCATCTCCAAATATATAGTAAACTACTACATACGACGTTCTTCTTAATGATACGAACGTCAGAACAGTCTCTCAGAACGGAAGAAGGAGTGCCGCTTATAAGAATCTTATAACTGAATTACGAGACGGATTTGGCTTTGAAGCCACTGAAAAAAGCTACGCAATCACTTTGACCATACTAGGTCGAAAGTGATTGCAAAAGGCATGTCTCTCAGGAAAACGACTGATGCCGAAAAAAGGTAAGTTCCTCATGTTTTTGGATGCTGTTCAGTCCTACGACAAATTTAGGTATCGTACCAAAACCGAGGGAGGACGATCAATGCATGAAGAGGATGTTTTCGAAAAAACGGACAATCATTGCCCATTCGACAGCCCTAGTGAGCAGGCGCTATGGGAGTTCTTCGACAAGACCCCAGTGACACTCCCTTTCAAAGAAGGAGAGAGTTGGAAAGGTTTGCTGCATCGAAGCTTTTTTACAAACCCAAAAAACATGTATTGCAGAAAAAACTACCCCGTCCTGAAGAGGTTGGAGACGACGACGATGTCCTGTCTTTGGAGGCGAACATGGTGGCTCTTACAAGCTCTTACATTCCGATGCCAATTCCTCCCTATCTAGGAGGGCTTCGAGTCGGATAGCGAGGACGAACGCAGGCCACGGAACACACGCGTCACAGAAAGGGACATTCTTCAAAAAAAATTCCGATTGTGCAGAGTATGTGAAATCTACTACAACTGACGGTTATCAAGCGCACTTTTCAGGATTAAAGGAGGTTTTTTGAAAAACTTATCCATACCTTGGAAGTCTTTTCCGACTACATAAGTCGGCAATTTAAAAAGAAGTCAGGCGACACTCAAGAAAAGCCGGCTTCAGCTGCTGATCCCAATCTGGAAGAATCCGTGCCTTCTAGCCATTCATTCCTTTAAGTAGAGATACAATCTGTTTTTATTGTCTTTCTGTTCTTGCTGTCAGAAACTCGCCCGTTGCTTGCTACTTCTTTGAAGGCTGACGTTAAGCCTTCCTTATTAGTCATTAGTGTCGTTTGTTTGCTAGCAAGTTCAATCACGAATGAGGCGCAAGTAATGCGTAACGTGCTGGTTAAAGGAATGTAACGAAAAAAGAATAAATTTCCACTTGCGCAGTTTGCGTCCTCCTATAGTTCTATTCGATATCGACACCGATCAAGAGTGGGTATCAATGGGCAGAATTGCATACACTCCGGGTACCCTATCAACGTGTTTCATCCTGAAGCATCCGATGCAGCAGCAGCTCATAGTGAAGGCAAAATATCAAGATGTCTTGAGGTGCTGATGTGTACTTCAAGTGGGTAACTTGATTAATCGGTCTGTATATGTTCAAAAGCTCTCAATGGCTTCACAGCCATTTGTGTAAGCTCAACTCAATAGTCAGCTCTTAGAACGATGCGGCGGTGGTTGACGTATCTGATAACGCTTTGGAATTTGTTTTGGATTGCCTTTGTTCACAATGTTTGAGGGCATTTCTATAATTTGGCGTTAGCGGCGATTCAATAAAATGAAAATGGGAAGCCAAAAAATGAAAGAAAGATAAAAGTTTATTAATTGATTACTACATATTCGTACCAGCTAGCTTTTGTATGCGAAAGTTTGATTTCGAATTCGATGAATGGCATCAAGGATTTGTAGAAGCATTGGCGACTGTTCGTATTCGTGTCAGCAATACGATTTCAATCGACAAAGTGGTCAAATAAAGCACATCCGAGTCTATCAACACAATTGGTTTGAAAAACTTATCCAAAAGTGGAGATCTGAAGCAAAGTATAATGTAATTTCAAAAAGAACAAGAACAGAAGACTCAACCTTAAAGAAATTCTTGTGAACGCCTCTGCTAGCCGATCGAAGCAAAAATTAGAGGAAAATGAGCAGACTAAGGTATCCCATCCAAGTCGCTACAACCAAGCCATCACCTGCAACAATCGTTGTCACGAAAAAATATGTAGGGAAGCCATAGAAAGTGTGGAGGTGGTTGCAGTAGACAGTTATCTATAAAAACGAAAATAAGAAGAAGCACAAGAAAAGCGCATACCTGCCCCCTTTGCTCCCCATGAGAAACCTCTCGTGGAGTGTGCAGTTGCGTACTAAGAGGGTTAGTACATTGTAGATACAGCTGAGCAGTGTTTTGCTAAGACCTTGCTGCAACATCCAATAACATGTTTCAAGCATTACATGAATCAGAAAGCAATATCGCATGTTGCTTGCAACAGCGACACGCAACAATCTTCGTGCAACATTAACATACCTGCAGCAACATGACTGTGGGATGTTGCAGCAACATGCAACATGGCAGGGACATGTACCATGCATGGTGCAGCAACAAGTAATGACTGCAACGGCATGTTGCATGTTACAACATGTTGCATGCATGGTGTGGCAGCAAGTAATAGATGCTGCGGCAATGTTGCATGTTGCAGCAACATGCAACATTGCTGCAGCAGCGAGGGCAACAAATGCAACATACTTGCGGTAATACGCATATATGCTAGTCAATTACATCAAGCAGAAACATGCAGCAACATCTTGCATCTCGCAACATGTTGCAAAGACACCGCCAGGAGCCACCATACCGTCCGTCGCCACAACCAACCTTTACAAGTTGTCGTAACGAATTCGCAGACGTGATCGTTGTCCGGCGGATGGGTCATTGAACCGCGCCGAATGGCCGACAGCGACTGTCCTCTATGCGTTCCCAGGTAGATGCCGATGTTGTAGAGAATGACGCTGGCCTTTACTACCTTCTGGAGCTTCGGAGGCTGAATGCGGCTGATGTTGTACAGTATCCAGAAATGCCGCTTCAGCGCCCCGAACGCCTGCTCGACGACTCGTCGAGCTTTGGCGTGCTCCCTGTTGAACCTCCTCTTCCTGACGTCATTGTCTGTGGCCCGCTCTCGGAAGGGCGCCATCACACTTCTGAAGTTGACAAAGCCGGCATCGCCTAGGAGGCGATATCCTGGACGAGCACGACCTTCGTCAAACTCGGCAGCTGCTTGCGAATGCTGCCATATGAAGGAGTCGTGGTGCCTTCCAGCGAATCCGCAGTTGATGTACATGAAACGAGCCCTGGCATCCACTACTGCAATCATGTTGATTGCACAACATGCCTTTCGGCAGTAGTAGTGTTGCCGAAGTTGGTGGGCCGCTGGATTCGGATGGGGCAACCATCGACGCATCCAATGACATCTAAACAACAATCGTCATAGGCACTTATTCGTCACTATGATTGCTTACTTGTTAATCTCAAGATCGTAGCGAATACTCGAGATCTTCGCAAGCACCAGCGCTCGTCCGATGGCCAGAAGCGGAGGAAGCGGGCCTCTATTGTGGAATGATTGAGAGCGTCCACTACCCGGGTGACGACGTCACTCACTGCCTTCTGACACACTCCGAAACAGTCACCAATCATAGTTTGATGAGTGTTGGTGGCCAGGTAGCGGAGTGTAATGAGGACCTGAAGCAAATACTGAGTAGTTGTAGTAACCTTCAAACGAAGATGCCCAAACCTGGTCCTCTTTGCTTATTTCCCAAGGCTCCAACCCTGCATCCAGCAGCGGTTCGAGCATCCTCACGATCTTCTTAACATCTTCTCTGCGAAATCGATACTTCGAGTAGAAGATGCGATCGTTCTGCTGGAACACAGAGGACGGATGGATGCGATTGTAAGGGACGTTCCTCTGGCGCTGCTGACGGGCAGTGAAAAGCAGGGTGGCCATCTTAAGAGATTTTTTTAGAATGTCGGACCCACTGGTGTCTTACGAACATTAATTGCGAGAACAGGTTGTTCGCACTTTTGTAGTGTACTCTTACAATGAAGTTAAGAGTTGCAACTCTTGCACACATGACAAAACGCTTTGTGCCAGTCCGCACTCGAACGTGGATGCATGGCACGACATGCGCCCCTTTTCACCATTCTACTACTTGGGTTATCATCCAAGTTTCTGCGGAGGCTACTTCAGCGTTTCATAATAGATTAAGCGTGCATGGTGCCATTATATGAGTAAGCACATTCATATGCTTACTCACATAATACCTGCGCAGGATTATAACACAATTATAAAACACTATGAACAAATGACAGAAAATGAGTAGAAGAGAAAAGAAGCAATAGATGGAAGTGCATAAGAAAATCCGGTGCCATGTATGGATTTTGGACGCACGTGCCGGTGTCACTGCCACGGAACTGCTTTGCCGACAAAAATCCAATTTTCTGGCCACCGCAAAAATACTGGCGCTGCCTCGGATCTGAACCTTCGAGCCTCCGAACGTTACGCCGACCTCTTCGCCACTTCACCATTGAGCTCCATGAGATTTTTTCGCATAGAGGCTATTGGAGCATACCACCACGATTAGATAATAGGGTATCGATTTTCCGATCAATCGCTCCTCTGACAGTGCGCTAAGGCGCCGCACCGTCAACTGAGGCCCGCCGCAGCTGACCTAGGATGACGGAGGTTTACTACGGGCCAGGGTGTCCCAAAAAATGTGAACACTGTTTGATCATTGATAACTCCGTTACTTTCATGCCTGTCGCCGAGCTTGAGACAATTCTTTAGAGCAAGGTATAGCTTAGATTTATAGTATGGAGCGAATCACCTATCGCTCTTCGTTACTGTAGGATCACGGTAAGATTCCAGTATAAGGAACCATTGTAAAATATGCCATCAAAATTTTTTCCAAAATATCTGAAAAATCGTGTACTAGAGTTTTCGCTTAGGCTGATTCCACTATACAACTTTTTACAACTGTTTTCAGCTTTTTTGACGATGTGATTACATTTCTGACAAAGGCTGGGAATTCAGTGTTTATGGTTTACTTTTAATAACTCAGAAAAGATGCATTACAGTAAAGTGAAAATTTCATATTTGAATCAGCGGCCTGCATTACCATAGTATAAGAGTTTTTGACTTGTTTGTTTTTGTTCCGAGACAGAATATGGCCTCCAATGGTCTAAAATCCCTTGAAAGGTCTACCGTGATCCTGCAGTAATGAAGGGCGATCGATGATCCAATCTATACTGTGGACCTAAGTTGAACCTCGCTCTACAGTATGGTTGCCTCAAGCTCGGCGAAAGACATGTAAACAAGGGAGTTATTGATGATCAAACATATTCACATTTTTTGGGACTGTATATACTGGGTGCCCCAAAATAATGTGAGCACTCTTTGATCATTAATAACGCTTCCACGTCTTTCGCCATGCTTGAGGCATCATTCTGTAAAGCGATGTTCAACTTAGATTCACAGTATGGACCAAATCATCATTAACTCTTCACTAGCGTAGGATTACGATGAACCGTATAAACTTTCATCATAAAGCGCTGCTATTAAATAGACCTTTTGATGGAAAAGAAATGTCAGAAAATCCGGAAATTTGTTGGTAATTTTCAGGCGCGCCGATTCCACTACACAACTTTTTACCATTTTTTGAGCTTATTCAATGGTCAATCACACTTCTGACAAACACTGGAGAAACAGATATTACCATAAACTTGAAATAAATTATGAACGAAGCACTACAGTGAAGTGCAAATTTCATACAGATTCAGCGACTCGATTAGTTGTGTACAAAAGTTTCTGGCTTGTTGTTTTCTTTTAAGGCAGAAGTCGTTTTCACTTCCCTAAAATCCTTCTCAAAGTAGTTACCCTAACCCACAGTAACAAAGAGTGATTGATGATTCGGTCCATACTGTGAATCTAAGTTGAACCTCGCTCTAAGAATGGTACCTCAAGCTCGGCGAAAGACGTGAGGGCAAGAGAGTCATTAGCGGTCGAACGGTGTTAACATTGAACAAAATCCGACTGTTAATTAACCTTGGCATTATAATATAAGATTAGTTTATGAATTGTTTAAGCTTACCAAGGTGGTATAGAACTTAATAAAATGGCTGACGCGTTTCGGCGATTTATCGCCTTCTTCAGAGCGCTGTAACGAAAGTTTAGCCGCGACAATTAAAGACTCACGGCGGTCGCCACTGTCCACTATCCTGAGATAGCGGAACCGAGTAAACTGACGTGACCCTCCTCCGCTGTCTATTTATAGTCCCCAAGACGCTGATAAGCTGTAAGATCACTTATCATGGCTATACTGTCATCCTTTCTATTCATTTGGGGAGAACGGGCGGAGATGTAGAAAGCTTCAAAGGTTTTGCGCGCTAGAATTTCAGATTCTTGCACTAAAATTGATGCGGCGACTTCTATGGTGGTGTTTTGATGACATTCTATACGATGAGCCCCTAGTGGAGTGGAGATTTTGGACTTTTGTAGACCATCCAGATGTTCTTTAACGCGAGAAATTAGTGGACGTCCTGTTTCTCCTATGTAAGCTGCCCCGCAAGCATTACATACTATTTGGTAGACAACGCCGGATACCATACAATCTCCCTGTTTACCATACGGACAAATTGGGCAAGCATTAGTCATGCAGAGACGATCATAAGAGCGATTGCGTACTAATTGCTGCTTGAGATTTGGTGGAGGTATTTCTACCACCCTTACCATATCTTGCAATCCTGCTTGAACTAAGCTTTTGCGAACCTCCCGACTTATTCTATTTGAAATAAAGGGTAGGCAGAACGAAATCTTTTGATCCTCGAAACTTGTCCGTCTAGCAGCAGAACATCGGGATTTGTGGAACTTTTTTAGAAGGTACCCATTACTACTTGCTACACTGTCCGCCATTTCCAAAGAGTGGATGCGTTCTTGGGGTCCAGATGAGACTTGCAATGCTGTTTCGTACATGTTTTTTATAACAGAATTCTTAACCCAGCGCGGATGTGCCGAAGTGTAGTGCACTAAGATATTTTTGCAACTAGGTTTGCGATACCATCTTGTCTTAAATTCCCCATTAGCAGTTCTCACCTGCACGTTCAAGAATGCAAGCCAGTCATCCTTGGGTCTCTCTCTTGTGAATTGGATTTGTGAGTACTGCCGATTCAAAAGATCAAAACAAGTGTCCATTTCGCACTGAGTGGGGCATGCTATCAAACAGTCATCTATGTACCTACAATACAGAAAAGGTTTGCGTTCATGACTGGCGCTTCAACTTTGGACATGAATACGACAGCAAATACTGGAGCTATTCTCTGTCCCATGGCCAGACCTCTAACCTGCTTGTAATAGTGCCCCGACCATCGAAAAATGGAACATTGAAGACATTCGTTTACAAGGGTCATTATACCCTTAACATCAAACCCATAGGCAAGAGTGGATTGATGCTGTGTTAAAAGCTCGAAGACTGCCTGCATGGCTGCATCGTTCGGAACATTAGTGTAGAGAGACGTAACATCGAAACACTCTACAACGCTGCCGTTGGTCGGAGTGGTGTTCCGCAGGCGCTCTAAGAACTTCATGGGATGGAACGTAGTTGAGCAAAGGCGAGAGAATTACGTTTAAAAATCATGAAATCCTGTCCGTCGGACCATCTATGTTACTTATTATAGGTCTAACTCTAAATTCGCGCGGATCGGTCGACGTTAGGCCAGTAGATGGAGGTTTATGTGTTTTAATCAATGTATAGAGGACGGGACAAATAGTATGTAATGCTTGCGGGGCAGCTTACATAGGAGAAACAGGACGTCCACTAATTTCTCGCGTCAAAGAACATCTGGATGGTCTACAAAAGTCCAAAATCTCCACTCCACTAGGGGCTCATCGTATAGAATGTCATCAAAACACCACCATAGAAGTCGCCGCATCAATTTTAGTGCAAGAATCTGAAATTCTAGCGCGTAAAACCCTTGAAGCCTTCTACATCTCCTCCCGTTCTTCCCAAATGAATAGAAAGGATGAGTAGCCATGATAAGTGATCTTACAGCTTATCAGTGTCTTAGGGACTATAAATAGACAGCGGAGGAGGGTCACGTCAGTTTAGGTTCCGCTATCTCAGGATAGTGGACAGTGGCGACCGCCGTGAGTCTTTAATTGTCGCGGCTAAACTTTCGTTACAGCGCTTTGAAGAAGGCGATAAATCGCCGAAACGCGTCAGCCATTTTATTAAGTTCTATACCACCTTGGTAAGCTTAAACAATTCAAAAACTAATCGTATATCATAATGCCAAGGTTAATTAACAGTCGGATTTTGTTCATTATCAAACAAATACCAGCAAAGTTCTTCCGACTAGTAAGAGAGGCGGTGTCTTTAAGACAAAAAGTTATCGTAGAAAGACAATCTGTATATTTTCTACGTCGTTGCCTACAATTAGAAGTTACTCCAAATTTCATCACTAGTAAACGCCTCCATGAAATTTGCGGCTTTCTTAAAGCTTGTCAAGAAACTAAGAAAATAGAACAACAGCTTCTACGAACAGTCCTAAAAGTTAAACAAAATTATTTGTACAAGCTACTCAATAAGTGTGAGTACAAAGAACGATGCTGTGAACGTCTTCTACCTGACAAGCTCTGGAAAACAATAGTAGATCAATCTATACAGGTTTGTGATAAGATTCGCCTCGATACAAAAACACGCTTACAAAGAAAGTTCAACAAACTGTTAGACAAACAACAATCCCAAGATTCACTCAAACATGCCACTAACAAAATTAACAACAGCAACACTAAAAACGCTGTTAATTCTGACAAACCCAAAACATCTCGTGTCTCCGTAATAGGCGGCTTATCTTTGTCAAAAAACGCGCTTTCCGTTCTCGAACTCGGTCCAAGTTTCTCTCCAACTCAGCCTAATGGACCAAGAGTTTCGCGCAAAATTGTCGGCAATC